ATCTAATAGCACTAGACTCTTTCAGATGAGTCAAATCCTCTTTTGTTTTACAGATTATGTAAAGAGGATATGCCATTGCATTTGCAGATCAAAACCACTTGTGGCTCATGCTCTGCTTTTTGTGCAAAAAACTGAAGGCAGGTCTGGAACTTAAGAAATCTAAAATGCTACTACAATCAGACATAAGGTCTGGGCTTTTTTTTTTTTTTATTAAACTAGACAGAGGCCAAGCCCCTATTTTCCTATCTAGAGTTCCAGTTCTATCTTGTCCAAAAATCTGCATCTTGAAAGGCTCCTACAAACTAAATTGAAGGGACATATATTAAACAAAGTGCTAGACAGGTAAGGAATAAGAAAGCAACACTATGGAATACCTCCTTTTAATTTCTGATACTTACAAATTAGCAGATGCTGTGAAGCTTAAGCTTTTAATTGAATTTCAAGCTTGTTGTGTGTTTGTTTGCTTTTTCTTTAAACAGAAATGATAAAGATGTTTCAACTGAATATACATTTTACTAAAGTGTTTCTGAACAAGCTCATTTCACTTTTTCAAAGGTGCAATGTTTTTATACTACAAAAAAAAAAAAAGGAAGCATAAAAACCTGATGTGCATTCTCTATAATCATACTGTCATCATCCATTTTATTTCATTTCCTAATTATGTAGTCATGCAGCTACTGTGCACAGAGCCCCTATGGCACTCACCATAATGATATTAAACAGTGTTTTGCCTTACCTTCCCCCTCATCCGAAATTAATTCGGCACTTCAAAGAACATTATTAACTTTATCTCTAAGTGGGAGTGATAAAGTCATGGGAGTGATAAAGTTGCGGTAGTGATTTCAACCTGAGGTCACATATTTTTCTTCATACCCCATTATCGCAGCTCCAACAATTGAAAAACCAGAAGGAAAGAGACTGGGAGTGCGCAACACTGGTATGACCACTAGCTACAAGCCCTTAAAATCCAAGTTTAGAATAAAATAACAAGGAAACTGAAACAATATCTTGTTTTACTCAAATCACTACAGACATTTCTCTGACTATTCTACTGGAGTAGGAAGGTTTCCACACCAAACTTAAACCAGCAGAGACTTGGAAATCAACTGCCAGTTTCCAATATTTTCCCACTTCAACTTAATACTTGAATTTAATATATTAAGCACCCTTAAAGGGCAAATTATTTAAGGTTGCATTTCAAAACCAAGTCCTATCATTGGCAAACAAATAAGAATTAAAATCTCTTTAATGGTATTGGACACAAAAGGCAATTTTTAGAAACTTACAGCAAAAAAGCTGAGCAATTTTAAACTTCAACAGGTTCTAGGAAATTTGATTTTCTAGGAAAAGCAGATGTTCTTATATTTCACCAACTCCAGCCACTCAGAATATAGAGCTGCCCTGCTTCCTATCCAGATGTTCTTTGAGTATCAAAAAAGTGCATTACGTTATCTGAAAGGCTTAAAAAACCAGTAGGATCTGTGACGAACGACCAATGAAAAACAGCAGAAAAGACAAGTTCAACCTGACAGTCCAATTCCCTCAAAGAAAAAAAACAAACCTCTTCTAAGTAAAAAAAAACAACCAAACAAACCAAAACCAAGGCAATTTGAAGCATCTTACTATGAGGCCTGCAAAGGCACTGAGAAGGTAGGACAGCATGTTTTTGCCAGATGCTTCACTAGACAAGAATCCTGCTGACACAGGCCTAAGGACCAAACCCCTCCCATCCCAACTCCTTTGATCCCAAGTCATCTTTTATGACTGCCTGTGCTTGGCATAAGAAGACCCTCTATTCATACTTCATTCTTTGCTAGATATAAAAGTCTGTGAATTGCCCTAACACAAAACTGTTTTAAAGTCGTATTTGTAGACTTGGAGCAGAAAAGTCTAAAGCCACAGGACTTCACTGACACTTCAGTGGTGTAGCCAAAGACCTCTAACCCATTTCAAAGATGTTAGACTTGGGCCTTGGAACGAAGTTCTTACCTTCAACTTTGAGCACTCAGGTTTTAGACACAACCTCCCCTGCAGCTATTCTGATAGAGGCTCTTCTCTGATACATTATTTATAAAAGCCTGCTCCAAGAAGGAATACATACTGACTACATTCTTTTATTTTTAAAAGCATGAATGTTATACCAAAATGCCCCATACCAAGTCAACCCACCTAAAATATTTTTTTCCAACTGATTCTCTTTCCCCTCTAGCCACAATAATGGAAAATTCCAAGCACTATTTAAAAAAAGAGCTGTATTCACACCTAGTAGAGAAAATAAAGTTGAATGCAAAGCTTCCATCTGATGAGGAACATACAGAGACATAAAGGCTGTCTCCCTGGAAGCTGGGAATTCAGAAGTAATAAGGGCAAGACTCTTCATACCTTCTGCTTCTGAATACTGGAACAGAGGAGTATGTTTGCACATACCATTCAATAGCTTTGTTTTCTTCAATGGTTCTTAAGATTGGTGAAAGTGGCAGAGGGAGAAATTAATTCCTCCTTCATTTTCAATCCCATTAGCATCACTGTAATAAACAAAAGCTTCAACAAGACAAAGATGAATTCATTTTGCTTCTGGACGTATTAGTAGTCAAAAGTATTTAAAACCAAGCCCTTTTATTAAAGCACAGTGATAGAAAAGGGTATGGTCATCCTCAGGGGAAAAATATCAACAGAAATTTCAACCTATATTAAGCATGGAAAGGTAAACTTCTGAGTCATTCACATGCTATTTAGGGTCACAGCACATATTTGTCGAGGATCTCCATATGGTAAATAAATGCAAGGCTCAGTAATTTAACTCTGTCAAACAGATTTTTTTTTTTCTTCTTGACTGCAGTGACTTAAGGAGGTCACAAGTAAGAAAGCAACAGGAATAGAATTTTCTTGGCTCAAATGATAAAAACATAAACCACAATACAATGAAAATGTAGGTTTTCAAGGAAAACTCCTTCAAGCTCAACAGCAGCTAGCAGCTTGTCTCTATTTACCGTCACTCTAGATCAGAAGAGCCCACATACTTTTTTTCCTTTCCTGCCCCTTTCAGTTACACTTGAGCTCTTTGACTGAAAAGGTCTGGAACAGATTAAAAGTCCGACCACAAAATAAAGAGCTTTGGCATGTACTCAAGTCTGTCTGGGATACACATACACAGTGGGCCCAAAAAGGGAAGCTATGCAGCAAGAAACCCTTAATCAGTCTTTTGGACATTTCTAACTTCTTTCAGTTTAACTGCAAAGCCTTAACATTTGATTGAGTTTCAGTATGCACAAGACAAGCAGCTTTTGCCCTTAGAGTTGGACCACTCTATTTACGGGAATACAAAATAGTTGTGAAAAGTAAGATTCATGTCACTCACAACCTCTGTCCATTAAGGCGTTTTCCACACCCCTTTTTAATTCCAGCTCATCTTTGGAAACTATAAAGTAATGCATGTAGGGAAAACCAGATATGCTGCAAGATTATCTGAGTAAATGCAATTGCAAAAGGCAACACTGATTTTCAAAATGACTGCTTCCTTTTCAGCCTTATTCACATACTAAATAATTGTGAAGTTGCAAATTACCCACACACTCCTCTTGCAACATGCAAACAGGTCTGTAGCTCTGGCTGGTGTTAAAGCCAGCGTGGACATTTGCCAAAGCTGACACCCCACATTTGGGCTCAAGTTGCATAGTGGTTCAACCTGTCTACAAACTGGTGAGCAGTTTATAAACAAAGTGTGACAATCTGTGTTCCGTAGGAGTAAATGGATGTTTTAAGTAAGCACTCAAGCCTACAAACCAAAAATGCGGAATTTCTAACAGACATTTCAGAAAACAAAGCAGAACAGTGACTGTTGAGTTTTGCAGCTCTGTATTTATATGGCATTCATGGAGTTAATGCCTCTCCCAAAAGGGGCCCACAGTTGTTGTTAGGTCAACCCCTGTAAAGCTTCAAAGGTTTTGCATCCCCTCAGCCTGACCTACTCAGCGATCTGCACACTGTTTTCATTTAGCTGCATTGAGTCCAAGAGTAAAAACTGAAAACCACAATGATCTCTTCTTTTTTTTTTTTTTTCACTCCTACTGTTTTTCCATGGCTTTGGAAAAATAAGTATAATCCAAAGGAGTTGAAAATAGTAAGTTATTGGGAAAACAAATCAAGGGCAAGCTAATAAGGTTGACACACACAGGTCATAGCTTTACAAAAAAACAGAAATTGTAATGCCATAATAAATATATTACTTGGACAATCTATGAAAGTAGTTAAAGTCTTCACATTGTATGTGACTTCTATTCATAGTCATCAGTGCCAATATTTTATAGAAGAGTTTACAGTTCTGCTCTTTATACAGATCAAACACATTAGTGAAAAAATTATATAAAAGTTCTTTTTTGTTGAATTTCTCCATCTAGACTTTGTGATTGTTAAGTTACTATTTCTATTTCCAATATTGCATAATCTTTACCCCCAAAAAAACGTTATTAATGTAGGAGCAACAAAACTAGTAATTCCTCATCATATTGTTTAAAACAAAAAGTTTTGTCATGATAATCACTATGACAAGCTGGAATTATAAGCTGGTATATGTTTCAAGTGTATTTAAACAGCATGAACTATTATTTGACAATGCCCTCTTAAAATAGCCCAAAGGAAAATAAATATTTGTTTAGGAATTAAAAGATTCTTCTGCAGTAAAGTTTTGATCATTTAAAGGGACAAGTGAGCTTGAGTGAAACTGTCTCAATAAGTAATTTCTGAATGCAAGCACTTCGGGGAACTGTATGGATCATATGGCAAAATACCAACCCGTAGCATTAGAAACTTGGGTAACATACAGTCCTGAAGGATATAAGCTAATAGATTTTGTCTTAAAAAATAATAATAATTTAAATAAGGCCTCTATAACTCAAAATATATTTTAATTGTACTATGAAAGGTTTTCAAAATATGCCTGCAAAATTAAAGCTGAGTGAACTGAAGCAAATCAAGAATTCTGAATTGAGATGAACTTTTACCAAAGCGTGGGTCAAGCCTTGGGTCTAGCCAAGATGTGGTCTTGTTCTTATGGTTTATGTAGTAAATTTCTCCATCCTGGGTCATAGCTTGTTCCCATCCATCGGGGAGTGGGCCTGAAATATAGAAGGAAGGAGTTGATGGCGGGCTCTTGTTTGCTCCAGCTGAAATTGATCTAAAAAAAATTTTAACATTTTACATATATAACAGTACATGAAACAGAAGAGTTTCAAGCTCATTTCTGGGATTAAGGGCGAAGAAGTGCTGGGTGGGAAACCAAGGAACAGGAAACATTTCTATTATTTTTATTTAGGATTTGGACTTCAATTTTCAAACTTATCTGCATTCTTTCAATATGCTTTTGACATATAATTTTCCTATAGCATTCTAGTATAAAACCAGCAATAAGTCAAGCCTGCCAGAATGAAACCAGCATGAGCACCAGGAAAAAGACACATAGAATAATTCCGCCTCTCAGAGGAAAGCTCATCTACTGATTAAGACACAGCAGCAGCAACAAACTAACACTGAGGAGATCCTGAAATGTTCCTGTCTTTCACAAACAATTAAAAAAAAAAGTGACAAACCTCATTTCCCTCTAACCTCATACTCTAACTTTTGGTGAAGCATTCAAGGCTTAAGCAGACAAAAATGCAAACCTGAAGAACAAGGCAGGCAAACAAGCAATGACAAAGCAAAGGCAAGAAAACACCATGAGCAGCCACAAAGAAACAGTGCTATGAACAGCAGTGCAATGCCTCTAAAAGCAGAAAGGCACACAGAGGAAAAACTATTTCTAGAAAATGGTCAAAGGAACATGATGATGTTGTGGAGTCCACAGCTGATGTCTGAACACAGAACCTGAGGAGTGGTTCCCATCAGCAGCTTTCAAGAAACTACCTTTCATTCCTATACAGTTCTTAAACCCCTCATTCCCATCTCTATATGATCATTCACCCATATATTCACTATATATCATTCACCCGTATTTTGCTTAGACTGAAAACTATTTTAAAAAATTATATTTATTTCATCTTATCAGCCAGGTGCTTTACAAATACATGGGTTTTGCATTTTTATACTCACATTGGCATGGACTTTTAAAAATATCTAAATTAGATACAGGAAGATCTTCCCTGTAGTTTAGATTTAAATACAACCCACAAATTATACAACAAAAGATTTACTACACATGTTAAGGATGTAAAAGAAATCAGAAGAAAACCTGCTGTAGCATCAAGCCATTGTATTTCAAGTTCTTCTACTCTTCCCCAGTGTAATACAGTAATACAACAGCAGAAGCCATCTGGCTGTTAGGCTTGGACTAACAGATTATTCTGTGTAATGTAAGATACACTAAGTATACACAAACATCATTATTTCACACACAATATTCAGATATACCCAAATATATGCATCTATCTGATAAATGTCTACAATATCAGTCTTTAAACTACATTTGCTCTTGATTGTAACTTTGTCCCAAAGTCATGCTCCTGCTGAAGAATTCACTCTAAAGCTGGGAGGAGAGGTGGGGAGGATAGATTTGTTTGCTTAATCTCAAAAGATGTTCTTGGAGAAATGTCAAAATGAGTAAAAAAATAATTCAATTGCATTCCACTAATATCCCAAGGCATAACCAGGACAGGAATTTCTTACTGTGGTCTTTGAAGATCCCTTGCAAACTACATTTCTAATTTAAACTTTCATTTTGGCTCAGAAAACAAAGCCCTTCTCTAACAACTTCACTACTTCATCATTAGAGCTGCAGATTTTCAAGTAAGGAAAAACAGTGAACCCAGAATTACCACCTCTAATGCTCATAAGCTTTAAATGTTGCCTAGAAGTAATGAGTACCTCAGCTTTTATCAGAGGCTAGTGAACAGAACAGGCAAGAAAAGAGTGACAATACTGTAAATAATTCTTAAACCTAACATATTCACTGTACAAAAAGACCTTAATGGAGAAATGAAAGCTCCAGTGCAAAGAACACTGCATTTTGTTACCATACCCAAAGACCAGCCAGCTCATCGGTGAGATGTTTTTATATAAAACTGGGGCACAGGAGCACAGACACATGCCCCCCATCATCCATGTGTAGAAGCCAATGAAGAACCAAACCCACTCCTTTACTGCTGAGCCAACACACTAGCATAGTGCAGGCAGACCTTCTCACTACCATTCTCCTCAGAGTGCTGCTAAGACACACAGCCCTTGGAAAAACTCAGCAAGAAATTCTTTGTGAACTGCAAAGCCAGAAAAACCTCCTTTGACTTTAGGGAACAAAACCAGCCATGGGGTGTCAGTCCTGCTGAACACTGAAGTCTGTACTGGTCCAGCATGTTCCTTTGTAGCAAGTAAGAACAAAATGCCTTTGAAGAAGGCTACCAGGAACTGATCACTTCATCCATCTGGTGGAATAACGCTACCTATGAGATTCAGAGATCTGATGAGTACTAGCTTGCTACTTGAGACAAACCTGGGCAAGATTCTCTTTCTAAATAAAATGTAATGCTGTGGAACAGGACAGATCTGCTCACCTGGCTCTCACAACAGCAAGCCTTCCTTGTCAAGTGCCATAAATGACTGCAAAAGCAGAGCTTTTATCTCTAGAAACTTTTGGCATTAATAACGTAGCTTTCTTCCTTGGACAACAAACTGCTCAAAAGTTTCTGCTGCCATCCTTACATACAGAAAAGGCAGTTCAAAAATTGAAATTACTGCCTTCTGTAAATCCTTTGTGAGTAATTAGGTTTTGTGAGCAATTGTGAAACTAGATGACAGGTCTGATTTTCTAAATGGTCACTTGACAAACTCTGTATTAGAGGCAAGTACCAGAGGAAAAAACTAAACCCATGCTGAGGAACAGGAGACACATTCACCCAGAGCACCTAGGAAAACTCCTTAGCAATTATATGCCCATTTTCCCCAAAAAGGATCAACAGGAACAGAATTTTCAGCATTAGCTTTTGTGACCTAGGTTACCTAGATCCTATATTGCTGCTATTCAGACCTCCTCACTAAAATTTCCATAGTTACTGTTGCTCATGTTGTACAGAAACAGCAATACTGGATCTAATCAAAAGTCTATTTAGTCCAGGGATCTAGCCTGGGGAGATGGACAGATCTTGTTGGTTGCTGAAAGTAGCCCATTTAGTGACTGTCACACTCTATAAACTTTTAAATAAAGCACCAAATACATATAGAGACCTAAAACGTATAGAGGCTATGAATAGTCAATTGGTCTCCAAGCATGTTGGGCACTGGAACAGGCTCCCCAGGGACGTGGTCATGGCCCCAGTCCTGACAGAGTTCAAGAAGCATTTGGACAATGCTCTCAGGCACATGGTGTAACTCTTGGGGATGTCCTGCACATGTCCAGGAGTTGGACTCATTGATCCTTGCGGGTTCCTTCCATATCAGGATATTCTGTGATTCTATCACAAGTTATTCCTTGAGCCAGGTTCTGTCCGTTTACTAGGTGCCAAAATATCCCTCCTTCAAGTACTTCCCCAGTCTCCCCTCCAACTCCTGTAAATATTTAGCACAAACTATATGCCTGTGACATGGTCCCCTACTAGTTGTCTTTGGTGCCTCCTATGACAATTGAACAGTATCACAACTGTAAGTTTAGAATTCTATGAAATAATTTGCACAGGGAGATACAATCCTTCTAGACAGGGAACTCAGCCTGCACTGTGGTACTTTTAAGGACAAAGTTACCAAAAAATTAAATTCTAATTTCCAAATGTAAGCCATCTTTACAGAACTACTGCTAAGCCATACCTCTGTAACTAAATATTTATATAATGGTGTAACTTCATACAAATAACATATAACTTTAAAAGTCTGTGTGCATGTCTTTGGTGCATGTCTCCACTTTTTTTGAGGTTTTTTTTTTTTAAACTTTCTCATGTGCCATGGAATCTGGAATGCAAAGCAGAGCTTGCTGCTGGCAGATAGAAAGGAACTGGAAGAGTAATGGAAGCAAAAATGTAGCAGAGATTCAACCTATGCTGGGATAAGAAGTGAATCTTGCAAGACTATAGTTCCTAAGGTTTAATTTTAAAACAAATGTAAACAAAGCCATATTTTATCAATAGGTCAACACATTTAAGAGGATATCTCTATCTACCAACTGAATATGCATGGACAATCTAGGAACTAGAATACCTATGTTCAACAACAAGAATCACCTTCACCTAATACAAACATTGATCTCCAACACTTTTCCTAATCTTCCTCTGTGAAAGCTGAACTTTTTCCCTTCAGTCACTGTGGTTCTAAAACTTCCAAAATTATACGAAAGTCTACAAAATTTACTTTACACCTTTATCCTGTCAAGTTACTATAAAAAGACACTATTTAAAAAGGTGTGGGTAAGGAAAAAATGAACATCACTGTCATGCAGATACTTAGAAACTCGAGTTTCACAACAAATCATAGAGTTGACTGTACACAAAACAGAATTCTGTAGTATGACTGGCTACATAGGAGCAATAGACAGCTGACATGAGCAAGGATCTAAGAGAAGAGCTAGAACTTGTTTTAGTTATTGGCATATTCCTTCCTACCCTCCTGTCCCCTGAGAATCATGAATTCAAGTGTCCACTTTCTTACTAACATTTAACGTGGTGCTCCAGTCTTACCTTAACAGACAACAGAATTGCACTACATTTACAAACTTTCACCAGGAAACACAATTCAAAACTGCCATGTAAGAACGAAGACATAAGTGGACAGAGACACATAATCTGCTCCAAAGCTAATTATCTAGGGTCTATGCGCAAGGGGAAGAGGCTAAAATATGCAGTGCTGTCAAGCATGATTCAAGCTTGATTCAGGAAGTAAAAGTATCTGAAAAACAGTGGTATATAAATACAATTATCCTATCTCTGTTGTATCAACTGTAATTGTATAGGAAACAGTCACTGTTTATTTTCAAATGTATAACTTTACCTCAGTAGGAAAAGTATAGGAGATGTTACTAAGAAGAAAAACGTACCATTATTACTACCTTTTTGTTTGTTTGTTTTAAATGAAAACAGAAAAAAATATGATTTTTCTGTTCTTTCTCTTTTCCTTTAAGGGAAAAATATAGTTAGAAACATAATGCAAAACAATCAGAACAGTCACAATTAATTTCTATACGTATGTGGCATATTTACAAATAACAGGCTTGTTTCATTTCCACTACTGAAAATGCAATCCTGTTTCACACATTAACCAACAAGAGTCATCTAAAAGAGCACTGTGCTGCTTCTCTGCCTACATATGGCCCAAACTAGTTGGTTTACAAGTGTAAGATTGCATTTACATGTGTGGATTACATGTAGCAAGCTAAGTTAAGAAAGACTAAGACAAAAACTCCCTCACTTTTCACACACTGATGACTTCCTGTAAAGGATGTAGCTAACTAACACTCATAGAATAACTCATTCACAAAAATCATGCCTGGAATAGATAAAACTGGTTCAGATGTCCATTAACTTCCTTGAAGAAGTATAATTTGCAGGAAGATACCTGGGTTCTCATCCAGCCTTAAGTGCCTCAAGAGACAGAATTTCTTAAGACAGATAACCTTAAGATTTCAATCTCATGCTAAACTACATCTTTCCCATTTTTATATTTTAACAATCTTTTTACTTGCCCATTATCTCATCTTTCCTGAGTTCTTCTTCCCCTATTTATCCAAAAAGAGAACAGGTTTATCTCCAGCATGCACACATCAGATTTCAGAGTTCTCTTCTCTCACTACATCTTTAGTTTGTTTTCCTGTTCTTAATTTTAGCTAATGTCAATAATTCTAATTCTGGCTAAATGGTTAAAGCTTCTAAAGGCTCTCAGGACAGCTCCCATAAATCTCTCTTATGTTTCAGCACAGTAACTGACTTACAGGCTTCTGCAGCAGTAGACTAGAACTTGGACAGTAACTTTAAGGGCTAAAATAAATGAGCACCATCCAAGTTGTATACAGAAAGGAAAATATTCTCCTTTGTGGCATTTCAGACACTTTTTTGCAGTGATCTCCAGCTGTCACAATACTTACACTCGTTTTTTCCCAATATCTTTCATGAAAGGCTCTCATGCACTAGGGTATGTTTCATTGCCGGCAATATTTCTAACAGGAAACGTCTGTCTTAAAGGTCTCAACTTGATTTCCCAGTTCTAGAGCATGAATACCCAAATTAGAACATTAAGTAGTCCTAAATCTGAGTGCCAACATCATGACTGTAAGTTCCATTGTGCTGAAGTGCTACACAAGTTACTTGACTTTTCCATTTCTCTCAAAGATTATTCAAGAGGCTACCAAGGAAGTATAAGCTACCATGAACTCAGTAATAAAAAGTAACAAAACCAGGTATAAGAGACTTTAGTAAAAACAAATATACACTCATAATTTAAAGTTAGTACATACACATTTGCCAGATCAAGTATCAGATTGGAAATGCACCCAGTAAGTGCAGGTTTGGTATTATTTAATTCAAAGCAGACTTTTGTTAATAGCAAATAAGGGTAAGCAAGTGTATCCAATGAGCTGGTTCCAAGTCATATTACCTCAACTGACTTAAGCTTAAAAAACCCTAAGACCACATAATATGTGGTGTAATTCAGTATACACAGGAGCTCTGAGTCCTTCACCAAGTTATCAGGTTCAGAGCACTGGGGAAAAAAAAAACTTCACAGGATTTTCAGTTGATATTCAACACAGTATCATCTGTGAAATTAAAAATAAATGTTCAATTAACTTGTACGCAAGTAAGTGCTGTCTCAAATCATAAGACAACCCACTTGCACAATTCAACTCTTCTTTATTGCATGAACAACAATATCTATGCAGCATCACTCTCTACACACTTACATCAGGCAGTTACCCGTAATTTTTTAATGTTCTTTTAAAAATAATCCTTGTGTCCAGATTGCTAGCTTATTTTCTATTTTGTTACCACACTGCTACAATTTAACAGTACAATTTTTTTTGCTAAGGACCCTTCATTTCTTTCTAAGTACATAAAGTGATTCCTACTTTACTATCAATATTTTTCCTGTCAATTCTTGATACAACGGAAGGTTTGAGGAGTTATCTTAAAATACAGAATTTACGTCAATATTGAAACAGCAAGCATCTAGCAAGTTCTAGCACAAATATGCTAAAAGGCAGGACAGAGCAAGGGAATTGCTTCCTTCCTCCTATTCTCCCTCATTTAGAAGTGTCCCTGCAAAAACATGCCACCTCTATTGCTGCAGGTTTCCTGGGATAAATTTACAGAAAAAATAATCACACTATTTTATTTTCACATCAGAGCCTGAGACCTTAATTGCTGTGAATCACGACTTCCTGAACTCGAACAGGACTCATTTGTTCCAGGATAATCCAGCCTCCTGGCCTAGCCAGCAAAAAGTTTCATTAACTTCCCCTCTAATACTCAGTCATGAACAGCACAGTTTGGTCACGCCTGTTAATCTTTTGGTATTGTCTGCAGCACATGAATTGCAGCATGAAACAAAGCTGTCTAAATAGACCACAAAAAGCAGCACCAGAGAATAACCCTTGGGAAGTACAGGAACAGCAGACACACACAAAATACAGCCAGACTGTGAGAAAATAAATATAACATGAACCTCAGTGACAGACAGGAGGTGACAAAGCAAGGGGAAGACCAAGCACTCAAACTAGCATGGCACCAAATTTATCTGATTGCTCTCTGCATAATCAGATGAGAGGGCTCTGAAAACATACAGTAGATTCTATAGCAAGACCAAGAACATTTCACTGCTGTCTAGTGACACCCCCCCAGGCCAGCTGAAAAACAATTCTGTAATCCAGGAAAAGATATCAGACTTCCTCAGCTAGAGCAAATAATGACGATGATACTAGATTTTGGAAGTAATAGAAAAAAGAGAAAAACCAAAACATCTCTGTTTCTAAAAAATATTTTTAAGGTATTTGTTGACCCATTTTGGAAGGACAGGAAAAAATATTATGTTCATATTAAATATAGAAAATGTAAACAAATGGCAGTATACCATGTCTAGTCAGTGAGCAAATGGAGGCAGAAGAACACTATGAAGCACAAAAGCTTTAATGCAAATTGATATTAATTTAATGAAAATCCTGGTCTTCATCAATTTAACAGCATTTTTTAGTCAGAAGAAAATAGACATTTTACAAATCAATGATTGAAACTTTAAAGTTTCAATCATTCATTTGTAAAAAACAAAAACACAAATCAAAGAACTACAGTGTACTTTCTATTATAAATATTATACAAATTCTCTTACTTCAACTATCAGCCTCTTGCTTGATGAATCAGGCATCAACAAATTTAAAGTTTCAAACCAGGATCCAGGATAACCAGATCAACCATTTATTAAACCTGGACTCCCTCCTCACCGATTACAACAACTTGTGATTTACTTATATGATCTTTTTCATAAAAACAAATTTGGCTTACCCGATGCCGAGTTCATGATGTTCTGCTGCACAGAAGGACTGGTGGGAGCTGTAACATTCATCTGGGAAAGTATGGCCTTCCTAGGATCTTGCCATGTTGTTGTTTGATCAATGTGACTAAGACAAAACAAAGCAAGAGTTAGGACAGTCATGCATTCACAACAACGACCTGCTAGCACAGAAAGTTTAACAACAAAAGGTTAAGGCTGCCAACAACAGCCACATTCAAAACCAAACAAGAACTGTTTGGATTCTCTCCAATCATCACTGTACATCAGATTCTCAAACCCTTGCCCTGGCTACCACCACTTTCCCAACCAACAGCTGCAGCAATCAGAGCTAGAGCAATGGTGTGATAAGGTTAATCTTGAATACCATAATCTAAACTGTTGTACCATAGCTAGATGTTGCACCGTTAAACTAAACATTTGCTTCCTTCTCTCTTCGATCAGTTATTTGCCATTTTTAAATGTGACTTCATAGATTTTCAAACCAAGCCAATTATCTGGAATCTCAAAAGCACATAGTCCAGTAGGCTCAACATGATGAGTTCATATGCAGGGCCTAGGGAGTGGTAATGAACTGGCTAGTATACAATCACTAGTCTCCCCAAACTTTCTGTGCATAAACCACATCCTCAGATTATCAGACAGACTAGTCCCCTCACCACTGACACCTGAACAAGCTCTCCAGGGCAGCTGAAGCAACCAGTCACACTAAAGCAGTAACATGAAAGGGATGTGCATCTGCCTTTCAACTTCACGCAAAAAGATGAGGACAGTGGGACTGTCAAGTAACCCACCCAGCCCTCTGCAAAACTTTGGAAGCTTAGATTTCTCTGTTTTGAAAAAAATGGCAAGTAAATTCACGACTGTTGAATACTTTCACAGAAGTATTCAAGTCAATGAAAATACAAAAGTGAAATGAATCATTATTTTACTTTTGAAGTATGTGATTAGCATGTTTTGCTAACGAGCAACAAATGCAGTCTATTCAAAATAAGCATCAACACTATCTTGATGCCATTAAGCAACACTGCTCTGAGAAGTACATGGGGACAAAGATACAACTCCAAATACACATAAACAGTGACAACAAAATCTGCTATCCAACAATTTAAAACTGGTATAAATCACCAATGCATTATTAACTTGGTACCATTCTTTCCTTAAATAAATTATCCTTAAAATGAATCTTTTCTAAATTACATGGAATGCTCACTTTCATATACTGCATCAAAACCACAAGTAATAAATTCAGAAGAACATAAAATGAGACAGTAGTCACCAAAATAATTACTTATGTCAAACTAATTACCACATTCTAATCTAACCTTTTGTAACAAGGTAGACATATCATGAACTGGCTTTTAAAAAAGTTTTAAGATATGTACATCTACCTTCTCTAAACATGCACACAAGCAATTCTAGATCAAAGAATTACAGACACACTGTAGTAGGGTCACAAAGCAGCTCATTTAATACAGTATGTGCTGGTTTTGTCTTGGGTAGAGGTTATTTTCTTCACTATGGCTAGTACCATGGCTCTGTTTTGGATGAACCTGGCCTCCCTCTGATCATCACACCAATAAATTAAACTGTTTGATGGCTGGGATTAAACCTCAACAAGGTACTATTAAACACACTGCATCTTTGGCTGCATGGGTTTTCAAATATTCAGCTTCACTGAGAAACATGCCACATACAGCAAGACTTCTTTATTTCTTTTTTAAGCCTATTTATTTATAAAACATGGTGCAACACAGTAAAGACTGTCATATATACTGGACTATACATAAACCTTCATACTGGAGAACAATTTTTCACTTTTCTGCTGGTCAGTTTTTCAAAGCAGTGAAAACAGGTAAAGATAATACAGATGTAAAAACACTGCACTGTAATGCTTCACAGACCATGTGTTTAAATTACTGTACCAGCATGTGCTACTCCTCCCCTACATTTCTGATTTGTTATATTTGCTCAATTCAGTGATGTGCAATAGAGGAAACTGGGAAAACACCACTGTAACCATAATAACACATTCATCTATTTCCATTTAACTCTTATAAAATTCCATGTAACACTATCAACTAATAAAATGCAAGGCACATAATTTATAGCCTTTGTTTTTATATTCTATTTGAATGCAGAGTAAGAAACAGAAGGAAAAATGTTTTCTCCCTGCATTACAGAGCCATTCTTACAGTTAACTGTAGGAACGCACTGAAACAACATTCATCAATTTTTCAAAACATATCTGAACATGGGACAGATGAATGGACTGTGGAAGAGGCAGTTTTAGATGTACCTCCAATTTTGAGCACAAGGACAGCATTATTGATTCCTCAAGACAGTTTAAGCATACCACACAAAGTACAGTTAATGTTCATATGGAGCTGTTAACAAGGATAGCTATTTTAGGTAGCAGCAGCTTCCAGCTTTTCTCTAGCTCAGCATCGCTTGAGAAAAGTCAGCATGTTCCTTATGTGACCAACTGAACAACCATCAGCAGTCTTAGATCCAAGGAGGAAAAGCCTCAAAGTAAGCAAGCTGATGATATTAATATCATACTGACCATATGACTGGTTCAGTGAAGCAAACTACTTTCCCTCCCATTCAGCTCAGTGCTTTAGAACCTACATATCCATTTCCTCTACACCTTCCCTCAAAACCTTTCTCTTCAACTTCCATCAAATCATAGTCCTCATATGAATCTTACCTGCTCCATATCCTGACTGTTTGAATGCTATATACTAAGAAACCACACAAAACACATCACAACAGATCAGGTTTTTTCCTACAAATTCCAAATAATGCTCAGCAACTGATGGAAAAGTAGACAAGCCTGCACTTATATGGATGAATTTTTTAAATAAATCCTGGTACTACATGGAGGAATATAGGACTTCATTTTGTTCCTATCCACAGCACATGGACCAGGGTAACTTACTATAAACACCGTGTATTTTTAATTATCAAGTTAAGTATTGAAACAGGACATTCTCCATAGGTAAAGATCTTTCCCTCTGTTTTGAACAGCAGAGAAGAAAAGGTCTCAATGGACATAACAAGAACTGAAATCAATCAACACTACATTATCTTTCCCTGCATTAAATAGATTTTTTCCTCATAGTAGCTGAATTACATGAAAACTGCACAATCCTTACATTCAAGATTTTCTATTTTACTTGAGCTTCACCATCTCTCAATAAGAAACTATTGTCAACACAAAATAAAAGATTAAAAAACTTTAGCAAATGGTATGAAATCAGTGTAACCTATAAATTAGCCACTATATCTAGTATGTATTATCAAATTAAAACTTAAAATTCTACCTACTCAGGAAGAAGAAACAGCTCTGTACTGTGTGAACAGAACAAAGTGAATAAACATTCCTGGAATTAAATCAACAGATCTAGCATAATCAAGCAATGTAAGACTTTTATTTCACACAACAAATTCTCAAATCTAACATCTATCTATCTGGCACTATTTATTATTGCTCATTTATGTCACGGAGAAGCAAAACTTTGTTAAACTGGACAAACATAGTGTAAACTAAGGAAATCAATTCAGACTGTACCATAAATGTAGGTCTGTGGTAACAGGCCTTAGAAAAACAAAGCTAAAACACCCACCACGTGATAAGCATTTGTTAGCAAACTTATGTCAATTCTAGTATCAAGAAGAGTGACTGTTCCAAGACACATCACCCACCATCCTCCACCAAAAAGGACTTCCACCCATCCTCAAGTTCTACAGTCAAATACTAATTATTTGCATTTTGACAAGAACAATTTCAAAGAAAAGAAAAATGTTCTCATTTTATGTACACAAAGAACAATTCTGCAGTTTTTAAGAATCAGAATTTCCAACTGAAAGAAATCTTTACTGGCACTAAACACTATCACATGCCTGAAGATTTGTCAGATGCAAATTCTAACCTAATTTTAGAGTTTAAGGTTTGGGTTTGTTGTTGTGGTGGTTTGTTTTGTGGGTTTTTTTGTGGTTTTTGGTTGCTTTTCTTTGAGGGGGGAGGTGTTGAAGATTTTCTAGAACTTCCCTCCCACAAAAATAGATCTTCATAGGACGGGCATTAACATAAGGAGGTCAGAACTACAAAGCTATTTTACTGAAACATGCAATAGATATGTAATGTTAGGAAGAAAAGCAAAAGAGAATGAACAGATATTTTAATTCTCAGTACCATGAACATACCGTATGAAATTTCTGCAACAGGAAATAAACAAAAGAGGTTTGATCTACTCATAAAAGAATAGATAAGAATAAATAATCTGTTGCTTCTCAGTACATTTGGACATGACTCTTCATGAAAGGACATTTCAAAAATTTAGTCTCAAACACACAGATAGACAAGTTGTTCCTAAGTATAAAAGCATCACTCTAAAAAACTACACAAGCTTCTCTCCATAATGTAATGCCTGTGCTTTAACAATCTAGACAAGACTTATATTTTATGTCTGTGAGAAAATTATTTTCAGTCTCAAGTGAACTTGAGATGACTCACTTTAGATTTTGGTTTTCAGATTTTTGGGATTATTAAGAATTCATTGGAAATCACATTTTATGAAAAGCAAAACATGAACACATACCACTGACCACATCACAACAGACCTCCCACAGCTGTTGATGTGGCATTGAGTACTTTCTGTTCTGGGGATAGCTAGGAAAGTCTTTGTGTAACATTAGTGCACAAATGAATCTACACCTAATTATTTTCTATTTTTGTTGTGAAATTTGAACTTTTCATTAAATCCCAAATGTCAGCTGTTCCATTGACAAGCATGACACCTTTGATTCTGTTTTATGTTAAAAGAATGAGATGTAGATTCTTTCATTTTTCCTTTGTCTTCTTAACCAGCTAGTTTCTTTAATCCACATAATGCATCACTTTCAGAAAGTTTTTCTCTTTATTTATATTTGTCTAATAACTTTAAGGACTAGTAAAGAGGAAGTGACTCCTCATAAATGCCAGAATTATTTTAGAGCTCTCACCAGTACATTTCAGTACATCAGGTCTTGATGGATATACTGGAAGTTAGCTTTCCTGGTGATGCCAGGAGAAACTGTATATTTCTGCTCTTTAAATTGCCATAA